ATGTTCTAGTACACCCCCAAAACAAAATCAAGACTTTGTAAAAGAGCATAATAGGACCCCTTTAAAATATCTTACCATAAAATATATTTATACTGCAAATGCATTAAGACCTATTTTCAGAAAATATGAATAAAGTGCTTCTGATTAAGTTTGCAGTCCGTTATTCAGCCTTCAGCCCACACTTTAATCTCATATAAAGCAGCTTGATTTGCTCTTTCCCAGCATCACTGTAGGAAGTGTGGCCAGGCCGTGTGTGGAAAGTGCTCCTCTAAACGCTCCACTATTCCTCTGATGGGATTTGAGTTTGAGGTGCGGGTTTGTGACAGTTGTCACGGCTCCATTACAGATGAGGAGTAAGTCAAATGTTGATTGTCTTCAATGTTTTGAGTCTCTTACATGCTAGAATCACCTAAAGCTTTCTTTTTGTCCAGACGGGCGCCCACTGCAACATTCCATGACAGTAAGCACAGCATCATACACATGCAGTATGAACCAACCAGGGGCTGGCTGCTCACCTCCGGGACAGACAAAATCATCAAGGCCAGTACCTGTTCTCATTCAATTGTGAGTGTACTGTTTGATAGAGACTGAGCTAGTTTTAATATCTGTGGTGTGTTTACATTCAGCTATGGGACATGACTCCAGTGGTATCATGAGAATCCTGTGTATCGTCTGAAGGCAGGAACTAAGAATCAGTGCTGAACCTGAACTGAGAATCATGTGTTTGTGGAAAACGTTCAGGTCACTTTCCATGGGCAGCTTTATCTTATGGAGGAAAAACTCAAGGATATCCTGACATCGAACTGAGAATGTGCAATTGTATGTATTTGTGCATGTGCACGTGGGTTATGGGAACAAACGTGTAAATATTGTCCAGTGTAAATCTGCTTAGTTCAGGTTGTTTATATTGAGGTAAATCAGTGTTATGTTGTCTGTGAAACTCTTCGCACTCATTCTATCATCATCTTATGTCTTATCCCAAACACAAATGAATCCTTGTTACACTGCATCAAAGCATGCTGGAACTGATTTATATTGAAGTGCCTTTACCGCACCTCAATCAGTGGTTTATGGCATGGGAAAACAGTCTCTGCTATTGCCTCCTCGTCAACTATTTGAATCTTTAAATGTAAGCACTTAGTTTTACTGGTGTTTTAATACCAGTAAATTTAATTGGAGGATTTAATGTGCACATAATCATAAATGCTGTTGTTTACACAGGGTGAAATTCAATAATGCTTCATTGTCATAATATTGTGTTTGATCTTATTAAAGCGGATGTTTCATAGACATCTCATTACTTGTAAGAAACATTCATGATATTTCATTGTTTCTTTGGATCAGAAAATATTATGGTGGTAGTTTAAAACACATTTTGACTTTATTTGTCAGGCATATTTTTTTCTGTATGTTGAATTAAGCAAGTGGACATTTGGACATTGGTAATAGCTCATTGTAAAGCCACAGTGGGTAAAACATTACAGCTGAATGGTCACAGGGTAAGGACAAATAAAACCGCAGGAATGGCACAAAATAAAGATGCTTTACTTTGTAACTGTGTAATTGCAAATGTGACCCTGGACCACAAAACCAGTCATAAAAGAGTCCATTTTTGAAATTGAGATTTCAATAAATTTGAATAAATAAGCTTTCCATTGATGTATGGTTTGTTAGGATTGGACAATATTTGGCTGAGATACAACTATTTGAAAATCTGGAATCTGAGGGTGCAAAAAAATGTAAAAAAATAAATCAAAATATTGAGAAAATTGCCTTTAAAGTTGTCCAAATGAAGTTCTTAGCAATGTATATTACTAATCAAAAATTAAGTTTTGCTATATTTGCGGTAGGAAATTTACAAAATATCTTCATGGAACATAATATATCCTTAACTTAATATCCTAATGATTTTTTGAATAAAAGAAAAATCTATAATTTTGACCCATGCAATGTATTGTTGGCTATTTCTACAAACATACCCGTGCGACTTATTACTGGTTTTGTGGTCCAGGGTCACAAATGTGGAGGTTGGATTGCCTATTAGCTTTTAAAAAGGACCAATTTGACAAAAATGTCCATTTTAAAGAACACTTCCATTTAAAAATTTGTGGTCAGTTTTTGTGTTTTTGAAAAGAGTCTCTTAAGCTCAACAAGGCTGCATTCATTTGATCAAAAATACAGTAAAAACAGTAATATTGTGAACTATGTCTACAGTTTAAAAGAATTGTTTTCTATTTGAATATTTTTTGTAAATATAATTTATTCTCTTGATAGCAAAGCTGAATTTTCAGCAGTCTTCAGTGTCACATGATCCTTCAGAAATCATTCTAATGTGTTGATCTGTTGCTCAAAAAACATCGTAATTAAAACAGTAAGTGCTGCTTAATATTTATGTGGAAATAGTGATACATTTTGCAGGATTCTTTGATGAAGTAAAGCATTTACTTGGGAAAAAGAAATCTTTTGTAACAAAAAATGAATAAAAGCATTGATTTCTTTTAAAAATAAAAAGTCTTACTGACCCCAGACGTTTGAATGGTAGTGTAAGTAATAACTGGAGTGAAAGTCTTTATTCATTTTGAAATGAAAGTATTGTTTGTTTTTTTGTCACTGGAGCAACACTTATTATTTTACTGTTTGTAATGGTTCTTTAATTCTATTAAATAAAAACCATTTCAAGTCCTGTGGTTTAGTCTCAGCTCAAGTAAACATCATGAACACAATTTGGATTTTATCAGTTGTTTGGGCAAAAAATAAATGTTAATAAAAATGAAAACATATAATAATGACTTCCCTAAAAGATTGAGACAGAGAGATTAATTGTTCATTATTATCTTTAATTAAGAATCATGTCAGTCGTAACAAATTGACAAAAATAAAAAGTCATTTTTAGTTAATAACTGGCTAGTTAACTACAAACTCATTTGTAAGTGTATTTAAGGGGCAGGTCTAGAATATTTCTTCCTATTTATCTTCACATGTATTTGTTTAATTTGAATATGAGTTATAGGTAGTGTTGCATAGCATGTTCTTGATGTCAGTTTGTTTTTTGGAATAGCAGTTTTAGATTTATGAATAAATAATCTGCTATTTACATACTGAAACAGTTGTCTGATTCATCAAGCATGCAAACTCAGTTCCTTGAGGTTGTTCTACTCATTTAGCACAGCAGCTTCAACATTCATGTTAGAGGTAAGACTGCAAACAATTAATGCAGAATGTTAACCACAGATGTCATTTGACTTCAAAATCGATAAACTCAAAAAAACAGCCATTGCAAAAAGTGGATGTACTAGTTTCTTGCCTCAAACTAGTATAATAAAATGCTTTGGAGTGTATTTGTTTGAAGAACAGACAATAGGTTTGAAATATTTGAAACATTTCAGATTGTTTTGGTAAGCAGTTTTGTTATAGTATTCATGAGCTTTTCACATCTCTGCAATTCTCACCGTTATTGAGAATGAATATCACAGTCTGTGTGTGGAATGATGGCTTCTGTGAATTTGGCCGCTAACCCAAACAATTAACACTTGAATTTCACAGCGAGCTCCTCCAGCTTGCTCATCAGCTTCTGGTCTTCAGCTGGTGAAGACCTGGAGGAGGCCAGAAGCAGATGCGTAGAAACCGCTTTTCTGTCTGCAGATAGTTTGAGAAACAGAGGTCAAAGTTCAGTTACATGTTAAAGACAGATTTAATCTGCAACGTAAAATACATGTTATAGATGATGTGTACAGCATACTAAAGCATGCTTTCACATTTTATAAAGATGCTTGACCTTGGAAGAAGAGGCCGCTGGGCTGTCTGCTGGCGGCATCTGATATGGCCAGCCACACCACTGTGTCTGCACCTTGAGCTTCGGTACGGAGTTTATTCTTCATTTTTGCATGAAAATCTGGCATGGATGACTGCACAGCTGTAGATGAAACAAAAACATTATCTTTGTGACTGAGACTGCAAGATTCCTGTATCAATCAAGATATTTCCTTGCAGTTGATGTACACTACACACACATGCTGCCCACCTGGGGTGTCTGCCCAGCCTGGGTGCATTGACGAGAAGTGGATTTCTTTGTGCTGAGCTGCCCATTGCTCTGTCATGATCACCTGTTGCCTCTGAGAAAGATCACAGTTAACATTGAATAACTCCAGATTCTTTACTAAAAACATCAAAAACACTACGCTAAATAAAAAAAAAAAACTGCATAAACATGAGGGCAGTAAATCAGGTTACACGAGCATCAAAAAGTTTACCTCAATGACAATTATAACGGTCAATGTACAACCACAATTAGAAGTTGGGAGGTTTTGTAAAATGCAATAAAATGAATCTGTGATTTGTTAATTCTCTAACTTTTATTTAATTGACAAAAGTACAAAGAAAGGATTTCCAAAGTTTTCACTGACCAACGTAAATGTCTTTTGTATATATGAACAAATTTTGTTTTTGCCAGCTGCAACACATTCCAAAAAAGTTGGGACAGAGGCTAAATAAAAGTGAAACGTTTATAGAATATACACGTTCAACTGTTTTGAAACAGTTCACAGTAAGCAGGTGAATTGGTAATAGGTCAAGGTATCATGTTTGGGTATAAAAGGAGCATCTCAGTCTTTGCAAGCAAAGCTGGATCATGGCTCACCACTTTGTGCCAAATTTCACGAGAGAAGTGTCAAACAAATCAAAAATCACATTTTGCAATGCAAAATTACAAAGAATTTAGGTCTTTCACCAAGTACCATACATAATATTGTGAAAAGATTCAGGGAATCCAGAGAAATCACAGTACATGTAGGACAAGGGAGGAAACCTCAGTTGAATGTGCTTGACCTTTGAGCCCTCAGATGGCACTGCATAAGAAACCGTCGTGCTGCGGTGTTAAATATAGCCATATGGGCTCAGGAGTACTTCAGAAAACCACTGTCATTTACCACAGTCTGCTGCTGCATCAAGAAATGCAACTCGAATATCTATTACTCTAGGAGAAAGCTATACATCAATTCTATGCAGCGATGCTGCCAGGTTCTCTGGGCCAGAGCTCATCTCAGATAGTCAAAAAGACATTGAAAATGTGTGCTGTACTCAGATGAGTCCACATTTCAAATTGTTTCCGGGAAAAATGGATTTCGAGCTCTCAGTCCCAAAGACCAAAGGGGCCATCCAGACTTTCATTAGTGACAGAAGCGAAAGCAAACGTCTGTCATGGTTTGGGGGTGAGGCAGAGCAAACAGCATGGGTGACTGGCTTATGTGCGAAGGTACTATTGACATGGAGGCATATATTGGGATTGTACAGAGATATATACTGCCGTCAAGATGATGTCTTTCATGGGAAGTCCATGGTTATTAGATCAAGGCAATGCCAGCTCTCATTCTGCATGTGCTACAACAGCGTGGTTTCATAGAGACAGAGTGAATGTGTTAGACTGGCCTGCCCGCAGTCCAGATCTGTCTCCAACTGAAAATGTGTGACCAGTCATGAAAAGGAGAATCAGACAACGGATTCTGAAGTCTTGTATCAAGCGAGACTGGACAAAAATTTTGCTTGCAAAACTTTAACAATTAGTATCCTCAATTCCCAAACAATGAAACATTGTAATTAAAAGGAAGGTTGATGTGACACAGTGTCAAACGTGTCTCTTTCCCAACTTTTTTGGAATGCGTTGCAGCCATCAAAATCAAAATTTGTTCATATTTTCAAAATACATTTACGTTGGTCAGTGAAAACTTTGGAAATCTTTTACTTTTGTCAATTAAATAAAAGTTAAAGAGAATGAACAAATCACAGATTCTTGATTTTATTGCATTTTACAAAATGTCCCAACTTCTCTGGAATTGGGGTTGTAACAAAGGCAGAGTGGTGCTGGAATCTGTGCCACTGTATTGTGCTATTATTTTAACAGTGAATGATGGACTGGATTGGTAAGCCACCAAAAGCGTAACGGCTACATTTTTGTATGCTTTGTAGTTAATGAATTTTTTTAAGCCAAACAATAATATAAATATAAAAAAGATGCTGCAGTGCAACGTTTTTACTGATTTAAATTGTGAGTTTATAGTTTGTTTATAGTAGTACCTTGTTCTGTGCATAGGCCATGGTGCCGTCAAAAGAGCCTTTCTCAAACTGAAGTTCCTCTACATTTAACTTCTGAACCAGCATCCCACCAGATGACACAGTGATCTGTAATAAAAAATAAAATAATTCATAAAAATAATTATAAAATAAACAATAAAAATAAAAAATAAACTAATATACAAAATAATAATAAAAATAATTTTCTTAATTTCTCTGAAACATTCATTACTACTAAAAAAATATGAAAATTAACCAATTTAATAATAATAATAATAATACAGTTTTAATGAAGTTGTTTTAACATTCATAAACATGTCACTTAAGTCATTCATTTCTGGTAGCATTGTGAGGGTAAATGTGTTTGGAAACAGTTATTAACCATGCATTAGGATGCATTTCTTCTCTCACCACTCTGGGATTCTCTGACTTCTTCAGTGTGGGAATCAGCGCTGTTGTCAGTACATACGTCCCTGTAAAACACACAAGATGAGTGAGACGACTAGTCACTCTTATCTCTTCTTATCCCTTGATTTCAAGAGGTGGCACTAAAAACATTCTCTACCACAGGGGTGGCCTGTGACCTTTGTAACTCAATAGTATAAAACAGGCAAAACTAAAATACTGCAGTAAAAGCTCATACTTTGTTGTCCATATTGGAAAAAACATATGATCAGAAAAAAACATGAATCAACTTTCCTACCTAGTGTGTTTGTCGCAAAGTTTTTCTCCAGGCCATCCTCTGTCAGTTCTCTCTGATTGACCATGCAACCAGCATTATTGATCTACGGTAATAAATCACATGAAGATAAAAGACAAAGGGCTGAACAATAGAAGCATGACAATGTATGTCACAGTCAAAGCAGTTGTAAAATGACTATAAACAGACATGAATGTACATGCTATATTACTTGGGGGAAGATGAAATATTAGATTCTTTTTAAATTATTAAGAATAATTTAAAATGACGAGGAATGAATTACTGTTACTTTATACAATTGACTGAACAAATTTATCACAGTGCAGTTACCCGCACGTTATAACAGCAATATCCATGTGCATTACTGTGATTTTACTTTGTGCACAGCCTCTCGTGGCTTACTGTTTCAGCTTATTATTATTGATATTATATATTTTTATATTATTCTTTTTATTATCTGTGTCCTGTCTTGTCACTGTCATTCTGTTGTACTGTGGAGCTTCTGTCACTAAAACAAATTCACTAGTAATAAAGCTCATTCTGATTCTGATATGTTGATATGTCTTAAACTTGGAATACATTTACCAGAACATGTAGATTATGTTTCTGAGAGAATCCACTAGCAAACTCCCACACTTTCCTGGGGCTGGACATGTCAACTAGGTGAACATGGACATTCTGAAAGCAAATGAGAGACAAACTCAGACGAGAGTTCACTGTTTCTGTCCTAGAAGCATGTGAAATAATTTTCATAGTATATAAATGTACTTCTGAAAATATACCTCATTTTTACATCTCTCCACAATGTCTTTCCTTGCCTCATTTGCACGATCTTCATTTCTGCACACCAGATGTACTGTCCCACCTGAAGATAAACTGTTTGAATGAACTTTGAATGGCTTTTTTAACAGCACTACACATCTTTTGCCAGTAGGAGTCACTGTTGCGTCCCTTTTGTTGGTTAAACTTTAACCTAAATGTCATAACAGGGTTTTGATGGAACGTACAAGATCTTCCAAGTTGAGCAGTTATTGAAGGACAAACTATAACCAGAAGTCTCTGTTCTGAATTAACAAAGCCATGTTTTCTCACCTCTTTTGGCGATTTCGCAGGCGGCGGCTCTACCGATGCCGCTGTTCGCTCCGGTGATGATGAACGAGCGGCCGCTCACATTCACCTCCAGATCCGCCTCGCTGAAGCTCCTCGCCGCTGCCTCATAGCCGCCCCTGATGAGGGTTAATGAGATTTGAACTGGTGCACTGCTGAAATTAAAATACACTGATGATGACTTACTTCGTATATTCCTGTAGACCCTTCAGGAACCAAACTGTGTTTCGGTAGAGAGACATCTTCAGGATTTCACTCGTTCTCACTCAAGAGCGGTGTCATGACATACGAGCACGTTGGAAATCAGAGCTACGCCCCTGCGGCGTTTAATAACAGATCACATGTTAAATGTGTTGTAAGCGCGGGTTACAACACGCATTCGCGCTTCATAAAACGATAAACGTTCTTTTCTCAGTGAAAGCCTTAATTATGTGCACTTATTTGAAATAGTTTCTAAAACATAAATGAAAAACAGACATATTTAGATTTGAATTCCATCATATACTGGCGTCGTATTTTATTTAGGAAAGTCAAATGTACCAGGCATTTTTCAAAATTTGAACAGGCGCGCAAGTTTTTGTCGTGTACGACCTGTTTTTATATAGCTTATGTGTACGACATTTAAGAAAACAAGATCAACCGTTTTCATTAATATGGATAGTAGCAAATTTTCTAAACTTTCCAAAATGTCAGGATGGCCGAGTGGTCTAAGGCGCCAGACTCAAGGTTCAAACCTTCCCAGTGAAACATGGGTCTTCTGGTCTCCGACTGGAGGCGTGGGTTCGAATCCCACTTCTGACAAAATATTTTTGAAGTTGATTAAAACTGGGTTTCTATTTCTGCGTAAAATATATTTGATTGTGGTTTCAACTGTAAAATGTACCCAACAGGCAAGGTAAGGTTAAAAAAATCTGTATAAAAATAATGATTTATAATTTAGCGAATCAGAATTTAGGTAGGCCTAATTCAGGAATGACAGTAATTTCTCTCTCATTGCACTGCCATTGTGTCAAATTCCACTTTATGTTTTCCAATAAAAATAATTTATTCCTGTTTTAAGTGTTTTTGTTATGCTCTTTCATGTGATACAATCAGCGGTCTTTCTCCTCACCAATTCTTTCATCAGTTTTCAGAGACAAGCAGTCATGTTTGTGAATGTCTTCTAATTTAAATAAGTAATAAAAGAGTAATAAGTAATTTAAAGAGTAATAGCCTACAACTCCACTACCAAGACAGGTCAAGCTATTATCTGTAAGTTCATCACTATGTACATAAAGTAGCTGATAAAATGATGCTCTGGACTGCAATGACTTTGAAATCCCTTGAGATGGCGCAAGATCAAACAATGGCAGTTAAATTTGAACTGCATATAAATATCTTGAAAAATTAAAGTGTTTCATAATAATAATAATAATAATAATAATGCATATATGTTAAAACATTAAGCAGGTCACGATCATAGGTTAAATATGGCTTTAATTTCCACTATTACCAATTTTTACAACAAAAAAAACTTTGCTATAAATACAAAAATTCGGATTGTGTACATATCAACATATTTTACGTAGGCCGTGCTGTATCATGAATAAATCATGGCTAACGCCCTTTAGCCGTGATTTAGTCACGATACGGCACGGCCTCTCGTACCTTGCTTTCATAAAACGGTTACCACACAATACAAAATATTGAAATTTTACTTTTTTGAAGCAAGTGCCTTAAAAGGTCATGAAACCCCAGACTACTTTTTCTAAGATTTTAGCAGAGGTGATTGTGTTGCACATCATAGAAGACAATGTTAGCATCCGATAATTTTAACTGTTGGAGAAAACTGGTTAATTTTAAGCAGTGGTCTCAAACTCAATTCCTGGAGGGCCACAACTCTGCAGAGTTTAGCTCCAACCAGCTCCAAATCACACCTGCTTGGAAGTTTCTAGTAATCCTGAAGACTTTGATTTGCTGGATCAGGTGTGTTTGATTAGGGTTGGAGCTAAACTGTGCAGAGCAGTGGCCCTCCAGGAATTGAGTTTGAGACCAATGTTTTTAAGCTTTTTTGCGCTATTTTCATCTTCCGGGTTTAAAATCTACATCGTGTTGACGTCACAATTTGTGACGTGGCAATGGACTATAGTACATCATGACACGTCGGTGTCTATTAAATTATTAATGAGTTCTTATACTTCGCTTAATTATTCACAAGAGCATGTGTTGATTTGCTATGACAGACGTTTCAGACAGTGAGATGACGTCTTAACTGAGAGAAACGTTCATGGATCAGAGTGTTTGTTTTTGCTTTGTAATAAGAGTTCTGCACAAACGCGATTCATTCACTTAGTGAGTGTAACCGTTTTTACAGCTCCGTGACACAACCCGTCAAAAGGCGTATATAAACGCCACAGAATAAGCCTTAAAAGTTCTCAGAAGTGCAACAGTGCGTTCATATATATGTTTTCGATGCAAAGTGCAAATGGCTGTGCATTTATTTGTGCTTTTAACTCGATGGGAGCGAAATGAAACTATATGAACGCGTACGAAGTGTGTCTGTCCCCCCTCTTCCCCCTCTGCTCGCAGCGCACCACGCCCACCTTTTTAGCGTTTTTTAAAGGGGTAAGCTTTTTCACTTTTTCAACTTTAGTTAGTCTGTAATGTTGCTGTTTGAGCATAAAAAATATCTGCAAATTTACAAAGCTCAAAGTCCAATTCAAAAGGAGATATTTTATTTAACAGAAATCACTTTTCAAAAACTACAACGCATATTTTCCGGGATTTG